TCCTTAAGGCATCACAAAATACTTCATATTCAGTTATTTGCTCTTTGATATAAAATCATTGCATAAGCAGATGGTTTGAGATATCTTGCTTATGCTGTTATTTCTCAAGAATATTTTAAGCTATCTCCATAACCTAACTGTTTTAGCACTGTGAGGAAGAAATTATTTTATCAAACAGGTATTAAAAGAGGGCATGGATTTCTCAAAAGAGGCAGTACACCCAAACTGCATGTGTTCTCTGCAAAATACCATTCTTCACATCAACCTAATAAGTTACTTTGCAACTCGTTGGCACCAGAACAAAGTCTGTACTATCCTCACCCAAAGTCTACTAATACATACTTGCCACATGGAGGAATCGGATATCAGTCAGAAGTGCAAATCATGGCCAACTGCTACCCAAATGAGGGGAACTGTTCCTACATCGATCGGACATCAGTTAATTGACCTCAAACTATCATTATATTCTACGACACTAATAACTGTTTTGCACACCATTTATAGTTATCACATTATTAAAATTGTTGCATTACCCTAATTAAATATAAAACTCGCAACATTGGCTTAGAATACTACTGAAGTACCATTCTTGGCCATAAATTTACAACCTTCAGCCCTCACAATCCAGATGTACAAAGTTTGTTTTAAAAAAAAAACTGCTGAACACTACCGGAAAATAACTGTCCGCCAATTTTCTGTACCAATGTGTGTTTTTTTGCTAGTAAAATAAACCTAGGGGGTGGTAGTAAAACTAATTTTGGTAATCTAGAGAATCAATTAATCAAGATAGATACAATATCAATAGTGTCACTGGTTACAAGTGCAAAAAATAACTTACGTTGCAATTTCAGCTCTCCATCCACTATACAGAGAAGGGGGGGAAAACATCAGGATGCAAAACAATAGGAAAGAAAAGAAAAGCAACTTCAGCAAAACAAAGGATAGAGATGAGTTTGTTTTTCATGCAAATGAAATCTTAAGCACTTTGTTTTTGAAACTGCTCTGATCTCAAAATAGGCAGATTTATAGTTTCATGGTACAGAGCTTGATTATTGCTGGAAAGAGTAACAAGCTGTCAAAGCTTTTGGTCTTCATCCATCAGGACATAATTGCAAGAACAATCAAACTTTAAATGAAGTAACAGTTTATATGGCATGAAAATAGGTGCTGACTGGACAACAGGTGGATCCTTGATTGTTAAGTCGCACTGCAGATCAGAATGCACCAGGAAACACATGGCAGTCAAGCTTTCATTTAACTTCATACCTGGCACGTCAAATGATTGGACACTCCCCACGTGGAATGCACCAGGGAATTACTATCCCACAAGCTTTTGTTTTGTTAATAACATGGACATTTTTTTTTTTAAATGTCTTGTGTTTGCAATTAAACGTAGCTTCTAGCACATGTAAGTGAGCCGCACTTCAAGACCAAATAATAATTTTAAATTAGTTTTAGTGTTATTCTTAGCAGAATTAATCATTCCAACAATTGGTGAACGTATCAAACAGGACATCTCTTCCACAGTTCACAACAGGCAGTGTCAATGACCATACGCAACCAGCCCATGCTTGCAAAACGCATAACAGAATGTCTAACATTACACAGGTTCTGTGATTGGACAACACATGCTAAACAATCCCGATTGCCTACGGAATCTGAAATATGGGAGCAGATGTTCAAGATAAGAATAATTTACGACTAAGACTTGGAGAAATTTCTTCAAAGGATCCTGAATCTTTGGAATTCTTTATTCTCGAGAATTTTGGATGCTCCATTATATAATTTAAGCTGAGATAGAAGATTTTTCATCTCTCAGGGAATCAAGGGAAATGGGGAGTGGGTGAAAAGGTGAACTTCAGTCTGAGAGTCAATAATGATTGTACTGAATAGTGGAGCAAGCTTAAGGGGCTGTATGGTCTATTAATGTTCCTATTTCCTATGTTGAAGTTGGAGGTAAATTTCATATCAAGTGATCTAAATGACTGAAGGTATTTCCTTGGCAAACTCATTTGACCCCAAAAGTATCTCCAGACATATTGCCTGCTTATAATTGCTTCTCTATTTGACCTAAATCAAGATATATTAAGCCAAACCCCAAGCAATGTCTAGACTTGTGCACAATGAAACATGCCTCAACACCCCAACTGAATAAATTAACTTCCTCCTATACTCAGTCGAAAGATAACTACTTGATGTTTTGCAACAAAGGAGTTACCAAAAACAGATTTTTAAACAGCATAATCATTGGAAATAACAACAGCATACAGCAATTTTATAGCGAAGGTCATGGCCTAGTGGTATTATCACTAAACTGTTAATCGAGAAACTCAACTAACATTCTGGGGATCATTCCCGCCACACCAAATGGTGGAATTTGAATTCAATAAAAAAAATCTGGAATTAAAAATCTACTGATGACCATGAAACCATTGCAGATTGTCAAAAAAAACCCATTTAGTTCACTGTCTTTCAAGGAGGGCAGTCTGCCATCCTCACCTGGTCTGGCCTCATGTGATTCCAGATTACAGCCATGTGTGACTCTCAACTGTCCTGTTAAATGGCCCAGCAAGCCACCCAGTTGTATCAATTGCTACAAAGTCTCAAAGAAATGAAACCGGACCATCTACCTCAGACCTAGGCACCGGAAAAGACAAAGGCAGAAACAACCCTGTCAACCCTGCAAAGTCCTTCTTACTGGCCTGTGGGGGCTACTACAAAAATTGGGAGAGGTGTCTCACAGACTAGTCAAGCTGCAGCATGACATATTCATACTCTCAGAATCATACCTCACAGCCTTTGTCCCAGGCACTACCATGACCATCCCTAGATATGCTTTGAACCACCTCAGTTAGGAAGGAGTTGCCCTGGGAGTCCTCAAAATTGACTGCAAACCCAATGAAGTCTCATGGCTTCAGATTAAATAAGCAAGGAAACCTTCTGCTGATTACCATATACCATCCTGATGAATCAGTTGAACAACACTTGCAGGAAGCACAAAGGGTGCCAAGGGCATGAAATGCACTCTGGGTGGGGGATTTCATGTCAACCACCCAGTGTGGCTAGCAACAGCACTACTGATTGAGCTGGTCAAATCCTAAAGGACATAACTGCTAGACTGGGTCTGTGGCAGGTGGTGAGGGAACCAAAAAGAGGGAAAACATACCTGACTTCATCCTTACCAAACCGCCATCTGCAGATGCATATGTCCATGACAGTAACAGCGAAGTTTCCACAAGTATTGTACAGTGAAAGCTCCACCTTCACGTCAAAAATACCTTCCACCATGTTGTGTGACTTTATCACAGTACTAAATGGGGCATATCTAGCAACTAAACACTGGGCCTCCACAAGGCACTGTGGGCCATCAACAACAGTAGAATTGCACTCCAGCACAATCTGCAATGTTATGGCCTATATCCCATGCTAAGTGATCCCACAACCAATTGATCAGATCTAAGCTCTGCAGTCCTGCCATATCTAATCATGAATTGTTTAACTGTCACAACCACTCACCAAAGGAGGTGGGTCTATAAATATCCCCACCCTTAATGATGGGAGAGCCTAATATATTAATGCATTGGATATGGCTGAAGCAGTTGTAGCAATCTTTAGCCAGAAGTGCCAAGTGGATGATCCATCTTGGTTTTCTCCAGGTCCCCAGCAAAACAGATACCAGTCTTGAGCCAATTTAATTCACTCCGCATGATATCAAGAAATAGTTGAAGGCACTGGATACCGCAAAGGTTGTGGACCCTGGCAACAGTACTGAAGACGTTCTCCAGAATTCCCCTAGCCAAGGTCCTCCCGAACTTATACAACACTAGCATCTACCCGACAATGTGGAAAATTGCTCAGGTATGTCTCGTACATAAAAAGCAGGACAAATCCAACCCAGCCAATTAATGCCTCATTAGTCTACTTTGGATCAACAGTAAAGTGATGGAAGGTGCCATCAACAGTGCTATCAGCAGCACTTGCTCAACAATAACCTGCTAAATGATGCCCAGTTTGGATTCTGCCAGGACCATTTGGCTCTTGATCTCATTACAGCCTTGGTTCAAACATGTACAAAAGAGCTGAATTACAGAAGCGAGGTGGGAGTGACAGCCCTTGACATCAAGGCAGCATTTGACTGAGTGTGGCATCAAGGAGCTGAAAATCAATGGGTATCGGGGCAAACCCTCTGCTGGTTAGAGGCATTCCTGGCACATAGGAAGATGGCTCCTCAGGGTAGTGTCGCAAGCTCAACTATCTTCAGCTGCTTCAGTCACCTTCTCTACGTCATAGAGGTCAGAAGTAGGGATGTTCGCCAATGATTGCACATGTTCAGTACCATTTGCAACTCCTCAGATACTGAAGCAGTCCACGTTCAAATGCAAAAGAACTGGACAATATTCAGGCTTTCGTTGACAAGTGGTGAGTAACATTTGCACCACACAAGAGATGATTGCAACATTCAATGGTGTTACCATCATTGGCTTCCCCAATAACATAGTGGGATGTATCATTGATCAGAAACTCAACTGACTTACCACAAACACAATGGCTACAACAGCAGGTCAAAGACAAGGAATACTGCAGCAAGTAACTTGCCTCCTGAGTCCTCAAAGCCTGTCCACCATTTACAAGGCATAAGTCAGGAGTATGACGGAATTGTCACAACTTTACTGGATGGGTGCAGTTCCAAGAAGCTCGACACCATCCAGCACAAACCAGCCCACTTTATCGGCACCACATCCACTCCCTCCACCACCGACACTCAGTAGCAGCAGTGTGTACGACCTAAAAGACGCACTGCAGAAATTCACCAAAGATCCTCAGACAGCACCTTCCAAACCCACGACCAGGTCGGAATTCCAGGGTTTTGACCCAGTAACAGCGAAGAAATGACACTGTATTTCCAAGTCAGGGGGGTGAGTGGCTTGAAGGTGAACTTGCAAGTGGCTGTGTTCCCATATATCTGTTGCTCTTCTCCTTCTAGATCAAAGTGGTCACAAGTTTGGAAATTGCTGGCTAAGGACTTTTGGTGACAATTATATTGACCTTCTTACATGCTTTTATCATTTCATGATTCATGAGATTTTAATTAACTGAAAGGGAGGGAGGCTGAGAAAAAGGAAGGCAAAGTCTGTGATAAGGTGAGACTAAATGATGAAATAATAGATTGTGCAAGGCCAAAGGTGGAGAAATGAGCCAAGTAAAGAATTGTATCTTGAGGAGAGATGTGAAAGACTATGCATCCACAATTTCAACGCAGTCAAGAAAAAAATGAAACATCAATATCAAGACCATACAAGAGAAAAGAAAAATGGGGACAGACATTGGTGTCTGAGATTGTTGAACTCATTGGAAAGCTGCCATTTTTCTTATCAAGGAGTGAAGCACTGATCCTCAAACACAAAAGTATTGAAGCTCTACTGGAGACTTGAAGAAAGAAAGGTCAGCAAGGAAGCAAGGCAAAGAATTAAAATAACTGGTGCCTACAGACTCCAGCTCATACTAAGACTGAACAAAGACTCCTGACCAGCTCGCTCAGTTGGTTACAACATGGTGCTAATAATGCCAAGATTGCGGGTTTGATTCCCATAAGGGTCATCCTCAGTTTTGCACAAAAGGCCAGCATGGAGTTACCTTGGTCAATGTAGTCTCTGTCTCCATCTTAAGGGCCCTTTTATGGCACTGTACTAATGTCCTGCTCCCTGGACCAGGTTCAATTCCCACCTGCTCCAGAGGTGTATAATAACATCCGAGCAGGTTGATAAGAAACATAGGTTAACTTAATGAAAAAAAAATCAGGTTTTTTTTTTAAATAAAGGAAAAGTTGATTTACAGATAACAATCATGGGATCAGATTGCCTGGAAGATGCTGAGGAGGCGATGGCCTAGTGTTATCACTGGACTGTTAACCTAGAGACCGGGATAACGTTCTAGAGACCTGGGTTTGAATCCCACCATGGCAGATGGTGGAATTTGAATTCAATAAATATCTGGAATTAAGAGTCTAATGATGACCGTGAATTCGTGTTGATTGTTGGAAAAACCCATCTGGTTCGCTAATGTCGTTTAGGGAAAGAAACTGCTATCCTTACAAGGTCTGGCCTACAAGAGACTCTTAACTGCCCTCTGGGCAATTAGGGATGGGCAATAAATGCTGTCTAGCCAGTGATGCCCTTTTTCCGTAAGTGAATTTAAAAAAAAGAAACAAAAAGCACAATAAGGGAGAATAAAAAGAGGGTCAACAGGTTAATTACTTAGGAGAGTATGTTCCTAGGGGTGATTTTCAATTCAAACAGGTAATCCTGCACAGTGAATATACAACAACCTCTCTTCCTACAGCTTTGGTCTTTAAGCTTCTCTCTCTCTCGTGAGTCTTGTTTTCTAGATTTCTCTCTCATGTGAGCCTGATCAGAAGAGCCTCTATTATCTTTGCTCTTATCCAATGAACCCTTGCCTGTTCCCATTCATCTGCAGCCCAATGGTTTAGCTTATTTTTCTTGATCAAATATGAATATTTCATGTTCTTGTTCCTAACCATATCTAATGCCCCTCAGGACATTAGATAAGATCTTTAGTCTCTTATCTAAGAGCACAAGTGTGTGCACGTGAGCAAGATACTATTTAGACGAAGTCTTCTGGCTTTCAGCTGCAGGAAACTAAAACTTAAAGTCCCAGAATCCTTCACATTCAGCTACATAACATGTCCTATTTCTTAGATTTCCCACTGTACCCCACTCAAACAAGACATATTTCTAATAAAGTTAGTTGTTAATTTCTAATTGTAAAAAGAGAATTTAACAATGTTTCTTCTGGTTAATAATCAAAGCTGAATATATCTAGCTTCAAATAATTTTGCTTTCATTCAAAGTCCATACTTTTTAGAAAATGTAATTCAAATTAAAAAGTCTTCTCTATATATGCTTTGTTCAATGTCTCACTGAAGTTAGCAATCAATCTCTCGGAATAAACAATTAGAACATTTCTAATATCAAAACACAGGTAAGCATATTCAAAAGCATCTTGGAAGATTTACAGGCTAATACAGATAACTCAATGACCAGATTCTGTCTATTTGCACAATTTATATAGCAGCTTACTTTATACCTGGCTGTAAGTAGTGGCAATAGAAAAATGGTTAATGAAAAACAGGAAATTTTGTAGACAGGAACCTCGTACAAACACAAAATTTTGAACTGACTGCCTGTGGCATTGCACATGGGAAATCAACACCAGGTGTAATCCATGAACAGTGAAGTCAGAAAGTTGAGGTTAATTGGACCCAGAATAAGTTGGTTTCTATTTTCAAATAAGACATTATGTTAATTAACACACGAAGTAACCTGGGAAGCAGAAAAGGGAAGTTAATTGCAGCATATCTGTATAGCACAGGATGTGGAAAATTGAAAAACAACTTCCACAGTTGCACCACTGGGAGGAGCATTATTATAACAGACCAATTACATATAGGTAATTTCATTAGAAATGTGAAAATGCTAGTTTGTAATGGACAAAGTTGCCAAAGGTAGTCTGCACATATTCAAACATATTTCATATTAGAACACACAGATATTGAGATTACATTTTAAAATGCTAGAGATTGGGAATAATTTGAAAATGTTAATGAACAAAAAAAGTCTAGTGCATCTAAACCCTACTATATGCAGTCCAATCATTTCTTCGCATTGGTCAAGATCCCATCAATACCCAACAAAGTTGAACAAATATCCTGATACAATACATACACCAAACCATTATGAAAAAGGACCGAATACAAAAGAGAAACTCAATAATTTCAAAAAATTCAAGGATGGAGATAATGCCCTCTAGTTACACTCTTACATAATGAATCATTGTCTGAAGATTTCTGATATTTATTGCTTAAAAGCAACTAAAACTATACATCACACCTTAGATCTTTGAGAATTATTCAAACTTAGAAAAAGTATACATATTTTAGCCCAATTTAATCAAAACAATTGTAGCAGAGTCACTCAAGCAATGATAGTAAAAGTACAAGTTTAACTTACTTGGGTCCTCCACACTCGAGTGCAGATGCTTTCACAACAGGTAGGGGCTGAAATCCAACTGGTTCAATACTAAGTGTATTACCTTCAACAGCTTCAAGAATCATTGAAGCCATCTTAAGCAGAGGGAAATAATTATTTTAATATAATTTTCTAAACATCTTGCTTAACAAATGTAATTACAATATATTAGTACGACTTTCACCCTGAATTTAAAATATTCATATGGATAATGATCTAAATAAACTGGTCAAAGTGAACACTTTTCTCCAATTAAATGTTTGGCTGCTTATATACTTAATAGGTCCTGGGGAGTGCTGTCAAACAAAGAAACCTTGGAGTGCAGGTTCATAGCTCCTCGCGTATAGGAGGTCATGTTGCGGCTGTACAGGACATTAGTTAGGCCACTTTCAGAATACTGTGTGCAATTCTGGTCTCCTTGCTACAGCAAAAATATTGAGAAACTTGAAAGAGTTCAGAAAAGATTTACATGGATGTTGCCAGGGTTGGAGAGTTTGAGCTACAGGGAGAGGCTGTTTTCCATAGAGGGTCAGAGGCTGAGGAGTGACCTTATAGAAGTTTATAAAATCATGAATGGTATAGATAGGGTGAATAGCCATGGTCTTATCCCCAGGGTAGTGGAATCCAAAACCAGAGGGCATAGGTTTAAGGTAGGAGGGGAAAAGATTTAAAAGGGACCTAAGGGTTAACCTTTTCATGCAGAGGGTGGTACGTGTATGGAATGAGCTGCCAAAGGATGTGGTGAATGTTGGTACAATTACAACATTAAAAGGCATCTAGATGGATATATGAATAGGAAGGGTTCAAGAGGGATATGGGCCAAATGCTGGCAAAAGGGACTAGATTAATTTAGGATATCTGGTCAGCATGGGCGAGTTGGACCAAAAGGTCTGTTTCCATACTGTATAGTTCTAAGTCTCTATGACTACATAGTCAAAACCTGGAACTGCCTTTTGGACAGGCAGTCAGTGCTAATCAGCTGAAAAACTTCTACTGTCCATTGATTTTTGTTAGACAAAAGTATCACTTCACAAGATGGATAAATGAGGTACAAATCAGTTGAAACCTAACTGACATTAGAGAACAGGTGTATTGGGCTGAATAAAGAGACAACAAGGTGCAGGGCTGGATGAACACAGCAGGCCAAGCAGCAGCTGAATAGCCTGCTCCTGATTTTATGTGGAACAGCACTCCCAGCTTCACCCACCAGCCACTGACGTTGAGGAGGACAAATTTACCAGATTGGCTAAAATTGAAGATGTTAGCGGATAACAGATGTTTAAACTGCAAAAACATCTTGCTATTGTTCAGTGTTCAAATCTTACATCGAATTGCCAATCTAGCAAAGTTATCAGCTTAAAATAAATTTACAGAAGAATCAAAATAATTTGCTGTTTCAAAACAAAAATACTTTAAAACTAAATAGATTCAAATTTCAAGTACAATTTACCCAGTAAGCCAACCTCATTAGTTTCTTCATTAGCAATTTTTTGTTACTTTTCATTAGATTGATTGTTGCTCTTTCTTACCTCACTTTTTGAAAACGTCAAGCAAGGATATATATCTTCTTTATAGATTCTGTCTAAAAAGCAGCAAGTTCTATCGATTGTAGGTTCTTCTTTCCAGGCTTTAAATTCACCGAATAGAAGCGAATCAACCTTTTTCAAATTTACACAAAAGGTTGTAAGTAAAGCTGAAATCAAACTGCAAGTTTCTAATTTTGGACAATTCAAAACATTGTATTTAAAATGAAATTAAACACCATTTAGACTATTAACTGAAGTTTCAACTTACCTCCAGATGACCTCCAATAAAATTTGTGAAGGATGTTGCACATGCATCTATGCTGACTGGATGGAATTTTACATAATTGCAGGCACATTATGGCCCAGATTTTCCAATGGCTAGACAGTTACTATTCCAATGCAAATGGGGCTTTGCTCATGAGAGAACCTGCAGAATCGCCACAGTTGAAGATTCCATGGGCAATTCCTGTAACTTTGGAACCCTCAAAGTGTCCAGTGAACTTGGAGTGTTCCAATGAAATTAAGTTAAAAGGTTACTCAGATAAAGTTAAACTCAAATAAATAGTCCACCTCCTGAGTAACTATTCAACTGACTCCATATTTTCCTGACATATCCGCAGATACACCACCCACAGACTTTGACTTGAAACCCCTGCCCAGTCTTGCTCTGGTCCCAACTCCTAGGAACAAAGAACAATACAGCATCAGCACGGGCCCTTCTGCCCTCCAAGCCTACACAACACATTTTGCTCTTCCATACTAAAACTAAAACTATCTTCACTTGTAGGATCTGTATCCCTGTTCCCTTCCTATTCATATATTTGTCCAGGTGCTTCGTGAATGCTGCGATTGTGTCCACTTCCACCACCACCTCTGGCAGCATGCTCCAGGCACTCACTACCGTTTGTGTGAAAAATCTGCCTCACACATCTCTTTTAAACACCACTCCACCCACACCCCCTCCACACCTTGAATCTAAGTCCCCTAGTAATTGACCACTCCACCTTGGGAAAAAGCCTCACACCTTCCACTCTATCTATGCCATTCACTTTCCCTGCTCTGAAGCCAATCAGCTTCCTATGATGTAACACCTACCTCTGCCACCCGACCCAATTTGCTTCCACCAACCCTGACCTACCTTTAACACTGTCTCACTTATCTGCCCCATCTTTGCCATCTTGAACCCTGGCACCTACCTCTTCCCCGTACCCAAATCTCACATTTACCTTATATACTCACTGTTGGACAGCAACTGTCAAAGTTGCTCTGATTCTGGACCTTGAAATTTTAGAAAACAGCAGCTGGCTGCTGTGAAAAGGGGGCATGGTTTGCATCCCCTCGACAGTTTCACTCTACAAAACAGCTGTCAGATTAGAAGTTTGCCTCTGAATTTCTGAAGGAGCCCGGATTGTAATCTCCACTCAGAAATAAATTTTTATGAAAGGAGATACTCTCAAGGGTGGAGTGATAATCTACGTGAGATTGCTACTCCTTGAAAAATGTGGCCCAAAGTCTCTGCTCCTATCCTGAACTAGGAAACCTCTTCACAATATTTGAGGTCATGAGGTACTTCAACTAAAACAATTTTTCTTAAACCTGAGTAGATTGATGATACAGCTCTCAATTCAGAATTTCTTTTAAAGATATACTGAACTTGTGAGACTCATTCTCTTTACACTCATCCTTTTTGCTTTATTTTTGAGAATAGTATCAGACATCTCAACATAGTCAAGAAACAATCCAGGATGTTCCTCTTGCAACATCTGTTTCTTTTTCTTCTACTTTTTGTTCCAAACACCGTTGGTGAGGCCTAAGTCAGGTTATTCCAAGATAAAAGCAATTTCTTCCATAGGGATTTGATCCACTATCTCTACTACAACTATCCACTTACTAAGTCACTCCACATGAATGGGACCCGTTTGTAACCTGAATGGAAATCACCAGTTAATAGCTTCCTTCATTAGCCCCAGTGAAAGTATCATTAGCTACCACCAGGAATGAACTTCCTCCAAGTGTGTCTCAATATCTTTATTGATTTACCTCCTTGATTAGAATAAAGAAATATCTTGCCTTTTGAAATAAAATATACAGAACCTCTACTGATCAGATTTACTTTGGCAATAATCTGGAAATAATTTTCTCAATTGTCTCAAGTCATCCCTGCCTTCCCAACAATTTCTGAAGGAACATGCTCCATCTATACTAATGCTACAGTTTTAATACGCAATTCCTTTCCGGGTATCGGAGGTTTCCTTAGGTATTCCTCCTACTGCAATGAGTCTCTCATTTAACTTGCAGCAATTGTCTTTAGTATGTCTAGACTTACTAGAATGGAAGTTTATTATCTTGATATCACTTAGGTTCTAACTTATCATTTTTTAATTCTGGCATTCTTCTGTTTTCCCCTAAAACTAGAACAAAGAACAGTCCAGCACAAGAACAGGCCTTTTGGCCCACTAAGACTGCACCAAGCACAATGCCTTTCTAAACTGAAATCTCCTTGCCTCCACGCAGTCTGTATCCATCTATTCCCTTCAAGATGCCTCCTAAACGTTGCTATTGTATCCACCTTTACCACCTCCTCTAGCAGTGCATTTCAGACACTTGCCACCCTGTGTAAAAAAAAGCTTGCCTCTCACATCCCCTTTAAACTTAGCTCCTTTTACCTTAAATCTATGTCTCCTAGTAATTGGCATTTCTACCCTGGGGAAAAAGAATCAGACTATCCATTCCATCCAAGCCTCTCAATGATAGAAATTTCTATCAGGCTGCTCCTCATCCTTTGATGTTCAAGTGAAAATGAACCAATCTTGTCCAATCTTTCTCGTAACTAATACCTTCCAAACCATACAGCATCCTGGTAAACTATTTCTGTACCCTCCCCAAAGTGTCCACATCCTTTTTGTACTGTGGTGACCAGAACTGTACACAATATCCAAATGTAGCCTAACTAAAGTTCTCTACAGCTGCAACTTGATGTGCTGAGTTTTGTACTCTATGCCCCAACCAATGATGGCAAGCATGCCATATGACACTTGACCTCATTGTCTACTTGCGTTGCCACTTTCAGAGGACTGTAGACCTGTATGCCTAGATCCTTCTATACGTTGATGCTTTGGGGCAGCACAGTGATTCAGTGGTTAGCGCTGCTGCCTCACAGCACCAGGGACCTAGGTTTGATTCCAGTATTGGGCGACTGTCTGTGAGGAGTTGGCACATTTTCCCCATGTCTGCATGGGTTTCTGCCAGGTGCTCTGGTTTTCTCCCACAGTCCAAAGATGTTTAGGTTATGTGGTCTGAGGAAGGGTCACCAGACCCAAAACGTTAACACTGATTTTTTCTTCACAGATGCTGCCAGACCTGCTGAGCTTTTCCAGCTTTTCTGTTTTTGTTCCTACAGCATCCACAGTTCTTTTGGTTTTTATTTGGGTTACGTGGATTGGCCATGCTAAATTGCCCCACAGTGTCCAGGTCTGTGCAGGTTAGATTGGTTAGCCATGCTTATGTGGGGTTACAGGGATAGGGTGGGGCACTGGCTGGGTCAGATGCTTTTCATAGGTTCAGTGCAGACCTGATGGGCCAGAAGGCCTTTTTCCACACTGTAGAGGTTCTGATTCTATGATTCCACTAAGAGGCCTGCCATTTACTGTATGCTTCGCTCCCACATTAGATCTTCCAAAATGCATCACCTCATTTGTCTGGATTAAATACGATCTGCCATTTCTCCACCCAAGTCTCTACCCTATCTATATCCTGCTGTATCCTTTGGAAATCCTCATTATGTGCAGCTTCCCCAATCTGTATCATTCCCAAATTTACCAATCAAGCCACCTACATTCTCCTTCAAATAATTTATAATATCACAAACAACAGTTGTCCCAGTACTGATCCCTGCCGAACACCACTAGTCACAGATCTCCTGTCAGAAAAACATCCTTCCATCACTACGCTGTCTGCTATGACTAAACCAGCTCTGTATCCATCTTACCAGCTCACTGCAGATCCTGTCTAACTTCACTTTTTGTATTAGCCTGCCATTAGGGACCTTTTGAAAGGCCTCGCCAAAGTCCATATAGACAACATTTACCACCATGCCCTCAATCATCTGTCACTTCCTTAAAATACTCAATCAAGTTTGCGAAACATAACCTTCCCCACACAAAGCCATACTGCCTATCACTAATAAGTCTATATTTTTCCAGAGGTGTAGATCCTATCCAAGAATCTTCTCCAATAATTTTCCTACCACTAATCTAAGGCTCACTAGTCTGTAATGTCCCAGATTATTCCTGTTGCCCTTCTTAAAGGAACCACTATTTCCCATCTTAACTAATTCCTTCTCTATCCCCAGATTTTCTATTTCTTCAGTTTCCTTGCAGATACCCATATAACCAGTTGCCCACATGGAACAATCTATGGTGAGATAACATAGGTATCTACCAGAACCACCACTTCTCAGATTTTAGATAATGATGCTTATCAAAAGAAGAATCAAGGGTTACCAGAGTACCATTTCAGAATTATTCCATAATTTTTACATTTCTCAAATTTTCCTCCAGCTTCAAATGATTAAAACTGCTGATCCCACAAAATTTCAGTCTCATGCAAATTCCACAAATGTCCGATTAGGTTCCTTCCTCGCAGTCCGAAATTTCAATGATAGACCTCCGAGATGAGCACACAAACTTGGAGTTTTGCTCTTTTAACAGCTTTGTTATCTGCAGGTTGCTCCTGATAGCCTGGTGTACACATTCATAGACTTATCAGGTCACACTGACACCCCATTATAAGTCCAAACACCTTTTGACCACAACAATTCAAAAGACAGTTGTGAAGTTGAAGTAAAATATGTTTTAACGCCATCTTCTGTGAATTTATACACTAAACTCAGGTTTCTGGTTAAATCCAATCACTCATTGGAATGAGAATTATCCTTCGAGCTACTTCCTCCTTTTTTCCCCTCCCCTTACGCTAAGATGTTCTCAAGCCAAGTACGTTGTTGGATTTCCCCCTCTCTCTGGAGTTGAAGCTTTTTAAACATTCCATTCCCTCTCCATGTCTTCTAATTCAAGATTTTTTAAATTTTTAATTGAAATTCAGGTAATTCAAGCAGTGACACAAATTTCAGGTATCCTTTTTAACACTAAAAGCTGGATCATCACTTTAAGCATCTCATCTTTACAAGACCCTGCTTTCGTTTCTAGCACCAACTTATTTGCCAATTCTATTCGCCACTTCTGTTCAAAATTTCAAATGATCTACCGTTAACATTTTCTACTCCTAGAAAAGTCTTAGCAACAGTCAAAGTAATTTTAAGTTAAACCCATTTAATATACAGCACACCAACTTCTTGTTTTTATATCCTGTATCTCTACATACATATTTTTTTGAAAATTCACATATCCCTCTTAAATTTCTATCCTGTTAAAGAGGCCCAATACTAGTGTGGTCCCAACTTATGATAATATCGGACAAGACAGATCTCAGTGAAACCTGGATTTACAGACCATAAGTTTAGCATATAGTTTCATTACTGTGGTGATCAGTCATTTAATGTACTCAAAAGAGACTGCCAGTGTAGTTTAATAAAAGAACAAAGGTAAATATATATTAAAAGGAAAAAAGCACAAACTCTATTTTACACAAGAACTAGTTCAAATGGTCTTATCACAAATATTAGAAATAGGGATTCAACCTTCTTACCCTCAACAACAATCTCACAGACTCTCAAATATCAATAAAGTGGAAACAGGGTGACTCTTCAGTTAGCACAGCTGTACTTGTTTTTTCCTGCAAACACTTAATGCACTCTCTTCCCAAATTCTTAAACAAAATGTTAGCACAGCTCATTTACTTCTGAATATGGAGTCCTTAAACTCCTCTTCCACAGCCTCAAGTCTGGAGCTCTCTCTCATTAGTATTAAGCCACTTAGGACTTGTTTTCTCCTACCCTGACTGTTCTAGATATTGTTAAACTGCTTTGCAGTTATTATGGGCACTTTCCCCCCCTCCCTTAATTATCTGTTTCTATCTGAAAGAAACTTGCACATTCACTGATCTTACAGAAGGTTCTCTCTTCCTAATGGGAAATGGTTTCTGTCTACTGTGTCAGTAGAAATCTTGTTGTTAGGTAACAACTCAATTTTTTATGGTTGCTTCCAAAGCAACAAACTACTCTCCCCTCAGGTTTTTTTTTAAAAAGCCTCATTTAGATGTATACAAGTATATTTGCAGACACCCTGGTACCTGGGGTGGCCTCCCTTTCTTACCTCCACACACTTCAAGCTTTACATAATTCTGCCTGCTTGACAGCTCAGGTTTCCAAATATGAACCTTCATCGCACTTTACAACACTTAATTGGAGAAACTGCAGCTATTCTAGAACTGGGTGGTGGAAAAGCAAACTAAAAACACAATGGTAGAGGAAGGTTTGAGGGGGTGATGGTAAGATACAAGTGAATATTCTCAGCGTACATATGGAACCTGATGTCAGTTAATGTCACTGAGGAACAACATGTTTATGTGAGACAAAGGAGGGATCGAGTATAAATCCTTCGGGGACTAGAATGGTAATTATCTGGAGTCAGTGGTAGCAGGCTGAGGAACAGAGGACAGATATTCGAGGATGGTGGGCTGGTTGACCATATTGCAAGCTGCAACCAAGATTGAGAAGGACAAGGAGGAGTGCTTGTGCAATACATCCACAATGTTATTTCTGATTCAACTAGGGTTAGGTTAAACCTTGAATTATCAATTACTTTCACCTTGAGATCTGGTGTTAGTTATTTGGAACACCGATTTGTCCTTCAAATTATCCATTTGATCTCATGTTACTCCAAATTTATTTTTGAAAACTTTCAGAAATTTAACTTACCTCTTTACAATCTCGTACAATAGGCTGCATCACATTCAATTCTTGGCTGCTGCTGGCCATTGCACTTGTACTTTTATTTCGAACATGTCCCTTTTTAAAGTGAGCTTTTGCATTTGGCTGAAGTTCCTTTGTAGGTGATGTTGGTGAAGAGGACTGGACTAGTGTTTTCAACGCTGCCACTTCTGCTTGCAGTACATCAATCTTATAAGTAAATGCAGAATAATTAAATCATTGGTTATTCAGTCCAACACATTTATAGACAGTTTTAAGTGAGCATTGCATAGATATAAAACCACAAGCCTCTTTGGAAACTCATTAAAGATTGTAATAACTGTCACTCAGTTACCTTGCCTTGTGCTTCTTTTAACTGTTTCTCTGCGGCTGCTTGTTTGACATTTGCTTCTCGTACCATTTTATGAGCTTCCTTAAAAGCAAAAGGCAAAGTGAGAATTGTTAAACACTAGAAAGCATTTTCAGTTCAGTCCTGGACCAAATTTTATGGAAGTTAATTCATAAGTCATGCTTTGAACATAATTTTAGCTCAAAGGATTATAGACGTGAAAAAAATTTGGAAACAAATAATCAACCTTGAAGTAAAGCTAATTTATCAAGCTTGGAGTCTTTTACAGTTAAAAGCTAACTTGTATATTTATCAAGGTCATAATTAGAAATGCAAAACACTGAACGATCAACTATCCATTTCTGGACCCCTTGGTAGAACCAAAGTATCCATTAATATCTCCATAGAGCTAAACATCAGTCATTCTGGGTAAGATAATTGAAAAGTATAGAAATTATTCATGGACAAAAACAGAAGTTGCTGGAAAAGCTCAGCAGTTCCGGCAGCATCTGTGAAGAAAAAAAATCAGAATTAATATTTCAGGTCCAGTGACCTTTCCTCAGAAATTATTCATGGGTTGCTCAGAGTTCAATTGAATGCAAAAATAATTATTTTACGTTTCATTTTGAGAATATCCTAAAGTATTCATTGTTCTCAAGTGGGGTTGTAGGGACAGAAGGTTCTATTGATTAACTTGTCTCAGTGCTTGCTCTGAACACAGGCGTTGCAGTTTTGCTTTGATGTAGACTGCATCTCATTGGACTTGGAACACCAAGAGATGATTGTTAGTAAACTTTTTACTTGATGTAGAGAAAATAACTATAGTTCATTATGTATAATGTAGGTAGGTCTCAAGCAAAGTTTGACATTGATAAAGCAAAGAGCAGCTGGAAGGTTTGTCTAGTTTGAAAGTAGATGAAGAAATCTACATTAGTCCTCACCTGAGCCTGGTGGGAAGAAATAATCAACAGAATTAACATGGAAGCTGAGAGAAAGCAATAGGGTGGGAATTTGCCAGTAACCAGAATAAGGAGGAAAGGCTTTCACAATCATGAAGTATGAGAGGATATCCATTTTCTCTATATTTTTATTGTGCAGTACATGCCAGTGTATTGTCTTAAATACATGGACCAAAACTGTACAGAGTACGTCAGTGGAGTCTCAAAACACCATGCACAGTTGTAACAAGACTTCCCTATTTTTAAAATTCTAATCCCCCAGCAATAAAAGGTCAAAATTCTGATTGCTGCACCTGCATAATAATGTTTTGTTTCATGGACAAGAACACCTAGATAACTTGGTGCTACACTTTTTTTTTGAATCTCTCTCCATTTAAACAATAGCTTGCCTTTTGATTCTTCTTGCCAAATTTCATGGCCTCACACTTTTCTATATTAAGCTCCATCTGCCAAGTTTTTACCCACTCATTCAAGCTATTGCCCTTAGCAGAATTCTTAGTTCCCTAGAACATGCCCTCCCACTTACTTTTGTATCAGCAAATTTTGACACATTATGCTTCGCCCCTTCCTCCACATCATTAATATTGATGGTAAATAATTGAGGCACAAGGACTGATCCCAGTATTCCACTAGTTACATGCATCCAACTTGAAAAAGGTCTATTAATCTTGACTCTGTATTTTTACATGTTAAGCAATCCTCAATTCATATTAATAAATTACCCCCATACCACGAGCTCCTATCTTGTACAACTTGTATACGGCACCTTATCAAATGCCTTTTGAAAATCCAAATGCATATCTACTGGTTCCCCTTTATCTACTCTGCTCATTACATCCTCAAAAGAACTCTTTCACACTTACCAACCTTTTTTTGAATTCACCAAGCCTTTTTAGATGTCCTGCCATTCCTTACTTTATAATCTGAAATAGCATTTTCCCAGTGATAGATGTCAATCATACTGACCTATTGTTTCCTGCTTTTTGTATACCTCATCCTTGAGCAGGAGTGGTACATTAGCTATTTTCCAATCTACTGAAACCCTTCTAGAAGCTAGTGACTTCTGACATATTTCTACCAATGATTCCACTTTCTCTGCAGTCATTTCTTTAAAAAGCCCTTGGAAGCAGGCCATCATGTTCTGACAATTGTCTGCCTTCAGTCCCGTTAGTTTATCAAATGCTTTGAAGTTGTTGACTTGCTCGCTGAGCTGGCTTGTTTTTGTTCAGACATTTCGTCACCATGCTAGGTGTCATCGTCAGTGGAGCCTCCGATGAAGCGATGTTATTCTACTTCGCTTGGAATTAATACTGTCCAGTCCGTTACAGTGACAACTATCATTTCCAGTTTTGATCTGTATGGGTTTATATATGGGGTCCAATTCTAGATGTTTGTTGATTGAAGTTTGGGTGGAGAACCATGCCTATAGGAATTCCCGTGCGTGTCTATGTCAAATGCTTTGTTCGTTTTGATAGAAACTGTCTCAAGATATTTCCTCCCGTTAGCAGCTTATCTGATATCTTTGGACGTTAATAGTGTTCCTCAGTATGAAGACCAATGCAAAATACTGCTTCGAATTATCTGTAATTTCCTTGTTTCCCATTATTAATTCCCTAGTTACATCTGCCAAGTGACTTACTTTAGCTTCATTTAATTTAGCTACCCTTTGTTTTTATAATTCTGCAGAAATGCTTGGTGTTTTTATACTTCTTGCCAATTTACATTGATAATGAGTTTTGTCCCTCTTCATTAGACTTTTAGTCATCTGCTGACTTTTTTTAAATCCCCAATTCTCTGGCAGAAGTATTTGGCATTGTGTGTGTCTTAGCTTTTTGATTGTATAAGCTCGAGCACCCTTATTAATCATGGCTGGGTCAACCTTTTCGCAGGGTCCTGCTTTTAAAATGGAATAAATTTTTGCTGAGTATATGAAATATCAGGTTAAATGTCTGCCACTGCGCTCCACTGACTTTACCCTTAATCCATTTTTCCAGTCCATTTCAGACAACTCTTCCATCCTACCTCTGCAATTGCCTTTAAGTTAATGACATTGGTTTGAAATCATGGTTGCTTTCCCTCAAAATAATTTAGAACATCTACCATGATGCGATTGCTACCTCCCTTAAATAGGAGTTCTCTTATTTCATTCTACCTCATTACACATTACTAGTTCTAAAAAAACTGTTCTTGATTATGTAATGCAATACACTGCTAACAAACAATTTCTGATGAACTGTATAAAATTTGTCTTTCATGTATCCTTGCCGATATACAGATTAATATCATCCATGACACCTGTTGTGCCCTTCTTACAGACCTTCATTATTTCTTGATTTATACTTGGCCCAGTGAAACAGCTCTTTTGATGGGCGTCATTTATAGGCTCCCACGATTTCTTTTCCTTGCTATTCGTTATTTCCACACAAACTAATTCCACATCACTACTCACCACTGCATTGATACTTTTCTTTATTAACAAAACTATCCCACATCCTTTTACTATTTACCTACTCTTCTAGAACATTGAATGCTCTTGAATATTAAATTCTCAATCTTAATCACTGTGCAACTACATCTCCATAATAACTATTGTAGTTGTATTCATTCATTTCTATTTACGCCGTCAACTCATCTATCTTATGACAACTGCTGAATTTGTTCAGATAGACAGCAGTAAAACTTTGACTTTTTAAACTTTACTACTTCCTCTGGTTTTAAATTCTGCTGATTCTTCTCTTATCCCTTCATGTCACACTTTGGTTATTGTTCACTTCTTCAATATCCTGTACATCTGTTATCTCATTTCTTTTTGTTTTTTTTGGAACTTCCATTCAATAGAACTCTCCTCCTCATTAAATAGTTTAAAGGTCCTATCTACAACCCCAGTTGGATGATTCACCCAGACACAGATCCCAGAATACGAATACAGAAGAGTAGGCCATTCAGGCCTTAAAGCCTACCCCACCATCAAATGGATCATTGTTGATCTGATTTTACTCTCAACTTTATTCTACATTCCCGCATATCCCCATTCAGCATGGTTGAATTGAAGCTGCTCTCAAAGAACCAACTCTTTCCTTAATACCGATTCTAGTACCCCATGAATCAGAACCCATTTCTCCCACATTTAGAAGCACAGAATCAGGAGCGCCCATCTGGTCTGCCAGAGCTACAGTATACTAGTCCCACCTTCCAGCACTTGGCCCATCGCCTTGAATGTTAGGACATTTTAAGTACTCATTTAAGTACTTTTTAAAAAGGTTGTAAGGTTACCCACCAACCGCTTTTCATCTTTGAGCTACAAACTTCTCTCTCCATTTTCATCTACCCTACATCAATTTGTATGTGGCTCAGTTAATAGAGATTAACAACTGTGGTCTGCTTTTTAAACTTTGTGCCCAAGCTGCTCATAATCCTTCTAAATTCTAACTAGTCCCAGGAAAATTCTGGACCCCAGTATCTGCCTCACGATGGACCAAATTTGGCGTAGTTACTCCAAGGATGCAACTGCCTCCTGAAACAGTGTCCAGGTACCTCATTCCTCCCTGATGCATCACAACATTCACAGGTCAGACTCAAGCTCATCAACTTGTAGTTGAGATTTCTCAAGTAGCCATGACTTGCTACTGAAGATGAACAGAACTGCAAGAACAGGTGGGAAGATAGCGATCACAAGAGATTCAAGGAGCAAGGAGGAAGGAGGAAAGAGGAAGTGGAGGCCATATTGCCAGTGATAGCAACACAATGTTACTCAGGACAAATAAAGAAGATTGCGTGGGGTCTCACTCAGTTAAATCAAAGGGACTTAGGATGGAAATCCAAGCTACTTTGTCTATCAATGGTGTTTGTTGCCAGTTTTGCAAAACTAATGTTTTTCACAACGCTGATGCAAACAGTGGGCTCTGGCAAATACCATTAGAACAAGAGACAAAATTACCAACTACATTTATTCCACTAAATTAAGGTGGAGGTGGTTAGAAACTGGCACAGTTTAAAACAACCTTAAACTGGCATGAAGCAAGCATGTCTGATACTCAATATTAATGCAAAACTTTAATGCTGTGTACATCAAGTTTAATATGTACAAAAAAAGTTCAATTCAATATGCTCTTGGTCATAGCATAAATTAAATTCATTGAATATGAACCTCAAATAAACTAGCTGTAAGTTCTTCCAATTCTTGGCCCAGTTGGTCTCTAACTTTGGATAATCGCTCACATTCTTCATCTTTTAGTTTCAGCTCCTGGAAAAAATTTTATAATTTACTTATATGTTGTATTACAAAACAATATTAGTTATGCATTTTTAAAAATTTATCTGAACATTTAATTCTTTAAACAAGAGACTTTTACTTCAATATCTTTAAATGGTGTGTATTTAAGAATGACTCTATCACACACTTGATAAAACTTCTTGGAATCCCTTTCTGTTCCCACAAGTAAACTTCAAAAGCTGAATTTTCAAAGTTTGCTTTCATTTAAAATTTCAACTAATATTCAAAGTTGCTAAATACTATTGTCACAGTGCATTCTTCTGGGAAGAAAGCATAATGTTTGTGCACAGAATATATAAGAAAACATCTCTAATAATTACATAAAACCAGGGTAAAGAAAACCTAACACCTTCTTTGTTTATTACAAATTCCAAAGGGAAAAGGAAAAAATTTATTTGCTCATCAGCACTAAATGCAACTTTTAAAAAAATGCAATAAGCTCATCCTCAACTATTTTAAAAACTATATATTTTACTTTATCATGATAACCACATTGGGTTTAATCTCCCAAATCAGGACGACCAAATTTTGCCACTTGACAATTTAAGACAGGAGCATCAACACTCGGATCAAGCTCCCTGTTCCTCTTCCCCTTAGCATCTCCATCGAAAGAACAAATCCACTTGAACTGCATGATCCTGCAATCAGTGGCAAAAAAAAGTATTCACCATTCATTTACAACACAATTTACAGTTATTACAGAACAAGAAGAGCACAGCATCCTCTACAGCACATGTAACATTTTGTCTTGTTAACCAGTTGAAGACTCTTGACTCAGAATACGGAGTCTGAATCAGCAACTCGAATTTAGAACAGTTAATTCAAGTGAAAGAATGTAGCAAAATCAAAGAGGCAGAAATTAGGGATACTCAAGAGGCAAGAATTAAAAGACAGCAAATATCTCAGAGGGGGACTGGGGGAGCTCAATGAGGTACAAAGAGGGGAAGCCAGAGAGATTTGATAACAAGCTTGAATTTTAAAATGTAGGTCTATAAACAAATGAGTGATAGGCGAAAGGGATTTGCCCAGATTTAAGTCAAAGACTGAGTTTTGGATAAGATCAAGAGGAATTAAAAGAATGTAGAATGTGGGAGTCCAGTCAGGAATACATTGCAATAGTCGAGGACAACAATGACAAGACGGATTTAGCAATAGATGAGCTAACACAGGAATGACACAAAAGACAGTCTTAAATGATAACATAAATAGTGTGATTGGAGGCTCAGCTTGGGTCAAATATGACACCAGGTTTACAAACAATTTCATTTAGTCTCAGACAGTTGATATTCCAAAATTCCCTAGATACAGGAATGGTCTCAGTGGCTTGGAAAAGTGCTATCATAACACCCTTGTTCAGAAAAGGACAGAGGCAGAAAGGAGAAAACTATGGATCAGTTGGTTTAGCATTTGTGATAAGGAAATTGTTAGAATCCATTATTATAGAAGTAATAACAGGACTTTTAGAAAGTCAAAATGCAAACTATCAGAGTCAGCATGGGATAGAGTCTGGCCCTCCTGAGGGGTGGCCTTATAGAGGTTTATAAAATCATGAGGGGCATGGATAAGGTGAACAGCCAAGGCCTTTTTCACCAGGGCAGGGGAGCCCAAAACTAGAGGAATAAGTTTAAGGTGAGAGGGGCAAGATTTAAAGGGAACCTGAGGAGTAACATTTTCATGCAGATAGTGGTGCATGCCTGGAACAAACTGCCAGAGTAATCGATGGTAGTGGATACAATTACAATGTTTAAAAGGCATCTGGATGGGTACATGTATAGGAGGGGTTTAAAGGGATATGGGCCAAATGCTGGCAAATGGGATTAGATCATTTTGGGATGTCTGGTCGGCAGAGACGAGTTGGACCGAAGGATCTGTTTCCATGCTGTTTCGCTGATTCTATATGAATCATGTTTGATCAATCTGCTAGAGCTCTTGGAAGATGTAATAATCAAGATGGATATTAAGATCCTATAGACGTAGTGCATTTGGACTTCCAGAAGGGATTTGATATCACATGGGGCTCGGGGTAATTTATTAGCTTGAATAGAGGATTGGCTAACCAACAGAAAGCAGAGAGTTGGGATAAATGGATCTTCTCCTGTTCGGCAAGACGTAACAAGTGAGGTGTCATTGGGTTCAGTCCACAGATCCCAACTAATTACAATCTATCTTAAGGCCTTGGATGCAAGGATAGAAAAAAGTTACAATGAAGAAATTTTAAAAATTGCAAATAGATCTGACTAGTTTAGGTGAATGGGCCAAAATTTGGCAGATGACACTTAATGTGGGTAAGTGGGAGTTTATCGATTTTGCTCAGGGGAATAGAAAAGCAACTTGTTATCTAAATAGACAAACTTCTGAGTGCTTCGGTACAGAGTGATCTGGGTGCCCTCATACATGAATTACAGAGCACTAGTATGTAGATACAGCACATAATAAAAAGGAGGCAAGAGGAATTTTGGCATTTACTGATAAATTATGAGCATAAAACTTGGGGAGGTTTGCAGCAACTGTGCAAGGTATTAGTGAAACTGGACCTAGAGATTGGTGTACAATTTTGAATTGAATTGAATCATTTATTGTCATGTCTATTCAATATAAAATAGAGTGAAAAATGCGTACCATTGCCATGCATGGCACCATTCACATTAACTTAAAATAAAAAATAAAGAAAGATAACAAAGAGAGCCCAACATTTCCTTTTCCACTGCTACAGTCCCACCCAGGCAACGCCAGCAGCCCACTCCATGCGGAAGCAAGAGTCCTGCTCCAGGCTTCACAGGCCAGCTGGCTCTGTAGTCACGCTGCCTCTGAAGGTGCCACCGCTGCCGCCACTCCAGAACCCATCGAAGCTGCCTTCCTGCCAAAGATCTCCATTTATCAGGTAAGTTTGAGCGAAAACTAAATAAAACCAAGAAAAGAACAAGGGGAGAAAGGAAAAAGAAAAAAAAAAAAAAAAAAAAAAGTGGATGAAGGAGACAAGCCC